TGAATACGTTGCAAAAGATTAATAATTTGGGTTCTTTCATGTTTATAGGCAGCTACGTCTTTTGCTTTAGTCATGATTGATATTTAAAGACCTCAAAAAATGCACAAATTTCCGCAAAAAATAGAGACGAGTTGGAAACAGGATATGAAATGGTAAAATCTGACCTTTTTTTTTGGAGTACTTCGCCTTCGTGGTGATCAGCTGCTGGCTTCTGCTGCTATGTGCGTAGAATGATGATTGACGTGCCTCAGTTGACACGTTCTTGTATTTTGTGGTCCGTGGACCAGCTCGGATTCACTAATTACACTGCCCGATATCCCGGCAACTTTCGTGAAATTAAATATTAACTGTCGATGTATGTACTCGTAAATGTTGTTCTGTTCTACAACTTAATCCGATTTCGCTCGAAGGACCAAAATGGGTATGTCACGCGAGTGGTGGTGTGAATCAGACGAGGGTTGGTGCTGAACTCTCTCTATATTTACATTATTTACAAAATACAAGATGTACCCTTCAAGATTGTTCGAAGGGGTGGGGTGTAAAACGTTCCACTGAAACGAATCTCATAACTTTAACACAATTTATATCCGAGGCCTTAGATAACCAACAAGTCGACGTTATTTACACGCACTTCTCTAAAGCGTTCGACAAGATCAGTCATTGTCTCTTACTTTGGAAATTAAATAACAATTTTGGTTTTTCGAATGGTCTTATAAAATTAGTGGAATCGTATTTAAACGACAGGTTACTCTATGTTAATATCAAAGGGGTTAAATCGAAACTATTTAAACAAGTCAGTGGCGTACCCCAAGGCTCCGTTCTTGGACCATTGTTTTTTAATATCATCATCAATGATATAGTAGAAGTTATTTATGTACCCTCCCTAATGTTTGCTGATGATCAAAAATTATATTCCGTAATAAAATCACATCATGACTGTGAACAACTACAACAGAACATAAATAAAATATATCAATCGTGCCTAAATGATTATCTTCTTTTAAATCCAAGAAAATGTTTTGTAATGTCATTTACACATAAATTAACGCCATTCACTTACGCTTATGAAATTAAGGCGGTATCACTCGGCCTGGTTTGGGACAGTTTTTATCCCATTTGAAATGTCGTGTAAAAACGAGAGAAATTGACTTAGGACGATAATTTTTTTTCTTAAGAATCCTTATTAGACATATTTTGTCCCTCTTATATTAAAATTTGATTTTCAGTTCTGTTTTCTGTGTAAAAAAAAAGTAAAAACATGCAAAAATGACGACATTTACATTGCTGTTACAACGTACACTTTGTAGTGCGAAAAAAATTAAAAAAAGAGGTATCTACAACGAACCTTTCTTAACAGATTGCATCAATAGGTTTTTTAATAAGTGTTACACAATTCATATACAACGTCAGATAAGTAAGCGCTGCAGATGAAAAAATTGCCTCAAGTTTTCAGCTGTACCTACTGCGATCTCTGTCGCACAGTGGGTCGGACCTTCCGGTAGAAGTTGACCGTGAAATTGGGAAGGCGGAGATTATGCAGGGTAAAATACCTACCCTGACAAAAGAGGCTTCAAATTTTACTCGGTTTGCTCTCCAGGTTTCGATTCTTTCGTCATTTTGTCAAAATAGAAAATATTGGTGGAATAAAAAAAAAAAATTAGCACAACACATTCAAAATTATTCGAAAGCTATCGGTGTTTTATTTTTGATACTCTATTATGTAAATTGTTGAATTATAAAAATTGGTCTAAAGTTATTTAGACAGTACTTCCCTCGCCCTTAAAGTCCGGTATGGTATAACATATTCAGTTTTGTCAGATAATTGTAAGATTCGATTTAGAGATTTTTACTTCCCGAACGTAAGCAAAGGAAGTATTGTAATCGAGTCCGTCGGCCGACTCTCTACTTTTACGTTTTCTCGATCTTTCATGACCCCTAGAAGACGAAGAAATAGGTCTCCCATTTCCGTCTGTCTGTCCGTCCGTCTGTCCGTCTGTCTGCCGTCCCGAATGTTTATTAGACAGATAATCACCGAAAGTACTGGACCGATTGTTGTGAAATTTTGTACTTATATTAGGAATATCGTATATATGGTAAAACGCTAACCAAAATTTGTCTAATCATCCCCACCACAAATGCGATGACGTCCCTTCAAAATTGTACATAGTAAATGGGTTTTAAATTGTATAAAATTATAGAGTCCTACACATGTAGTTTACGATTCCGAATTGAGTTTTTACCAGAAACGTCCAGATTTTTAGAAAAAAATCAAAATTATAAAAACATTTTCCAATTTAATTTTGAATCTGCTAACCCGAATGTTTTGAAATGTTGCAGATGTTTTAAGGCTCTAAAGAGCATCATAAATCTTTCGTCAAAATATATTTGGTTATCCTAAATTTTATGTCTGAATTATGTATTGTTTGTTACAGTTATTGTTGTTTCTTTCTTCTCAATCATAAGCTAGGAAAGTATTGTAATAGGGTCCATCGCACGAATTTCTAATTTTCTTTTCTCAACGTTTCATGATTTAGGATATGCAAAATCAAATCTTTACACTTTCTCAACAAAGCTAAGGTAAATATGTTACACTTTGCTTCAAGAGCGCGGTAAGTTCTGTCTAAACAACTTTAGACCAAAGTTTAAATAAATACTATTCTAACAGTTTTATATAAGTATATTCATTTTTAATTAGACTTTTCTGAGTAATAAATGTTTTATTGTTGTTCTTTTCTGTTTTCGGTGTCTAGGAAATGTGACACTTGCAATTAGTGATGTATGTACTCTGTATTTTTAAATAATTTATTGTAATAGTTGTTTTTGTTAATTATTCTGTTAGGTACTTTTATCGATCGAATGCACTTAAATTACAAAAAAATGCATACATTAAGAAATTAAATTATAAAATTAATGTTTTGATAGATATATTATAATTGTAATTTAATACTCATTGTTTTATTATAACTGGAGTACACAAAATGTTTATATTATTTATTATACTACCTCTGTTCCATAGCAAGGGTTTCATTTGCAATATTACCTATAGATTAAATTAAAAAATTCAGCCTTATCATAAAAACTGTGAAAGGTTGCATTTGTGTTTCACGTGGAATTTCGGATGCAGCATGCACAACACTCCACCCTCTTCCAGTGGTCCAGACCAATTTTCATTAAAACCTCGCTAAGCGTCTACCGTTATTTGATGCGGTCGTTTTGAAAGAGCGACAACATTATACCTCCTACACGCACGGAACAACGATAGCAGTAGCAGGCGTTAAGATATTTGAAAAGTGACTAGAGAACACTAGAGAGTGTTTGGACTACGTGAAGAGTTATTTATGCTCAACTGTTGTGTGACAATTCTGAGTGATACCACCTTAACGGCGTTCAGCTTGCAAGACGCAATGTCATGCGCAATCTTGAAGTTATCTATCTATGATTCAAAACTCAATTTTAAATATCACATAGATTCCATTGTTAGCTCTGCTTTTAAATCTCTAGGGTTCATAGTACGAAATGGCCGTCTTTTTAATGGATGTCAACACTCTAAAATTATTGTATACTGCATATGTCAGATCACATCTTGAGTATGTATCTCTGGTATAGTCACTAGGTTTCTTAAGACAGCTATCCGCAAGAATTGCTACTGAGCAATTTTAGTCTAAATTCTCTAGTTACTAGAAGAATAGAACGCTCCTTCATATTTCTTTTCAATCTTATACACGGGCGACAAGAATGCGTTTATATTGTTACGTTCGACGAGCGAATAATTAATCGGGCGTAGGTAAAAACTCAACAATTTATTTCTTAATAACTGGTATTACACTACTAACTATAACAGCGAAAACTTCGCAACTTAGATGCATTCGCTCATTCGACTCTTGACTGAATTATGAATGAGTCATTCCCGACGGTGGGCTCTATTTATCCATATTTCGGCGATCCAGCTCTTTTTCGAATTGGGTATTTGCGACTTCCGCTTCCAGGCTTTTCCAACGCCGTTTCGAGAGTTTTTCTGGGCCCGTCGCGACATCCGCTTGCATACGCGCGGCAGATGAGTCAGACTACATACGAAAAGAAACGCGTACACACTAGACGACCCATGGGCGTCGTACCGGGGCGGCGTATGGGTCGTTTATTTCGTAACAATATTCTACATCAGTTGGATTTCAAGATTCCTGTACGTGGCACCAGAAGCGACGACACTTTTTACAAAAAGACTTCTAGGATTCCTTCCGTATTTTTCTTATGGGAGATTCAATACATCTACCCGAACAAATATCTTGCGACCCATCAACAATATTGACTAAAATTTTATATGTATGTAATATTCTTAATATTCTCAATAGAACGGATTTAGAAAAATTTTAATTTTCGTTCGGTATCATTTCGAAATTAAGGGCATAATTAGACCAAATATCATAGGTTTAGCTTTAAGGCTTTATGAATTGAAAAGTAGTAATTTGCTAAAACGGTCGTGGAAATACTATGTTTGCTGAAAATCGGAACTTAAAATTTTAATAAATAATTGAGTATTTAAGACGTAACGATTAACCATCTCAAATTTCTTCGTCTTATTTTGATTTACAACAGACCATCAGAATTAGCCGCCGTTTGTGTCTGGGTTGATTTATGGCAATCCCTTCTAAAGGATCCGGACAGTTGGGTTTTTGTAATTGCGAGAAATTACTGTGTAGGTAAATATACAATAAGTTTCTCTGTTCTGAGAATAAATAATATCCCTGCAAATTACTGGTACAAATTTACCTGTTTGTTCGGTCTAGTCACCACACCATTTACTTGTTGAATTTTGTCTAGTGCTGTGTGTCTTGTCTTGTGTTTTTTTTTTCGAATATTTTATTTCGTTGGATTTAAACAAAACAGTCTTTTTTAAGACTACAACTAACTTGCTTTTTATTAGAGTGAGGTAAGTTATCGAAATTAAGACACTTAAAAAATTTGTTTTGACAGTATAATTTGTGTTATACAGTGCGGTGTAATTTGAAAATTATTATTTTTAATTGTTTTGTTCCGAACACTTTTAATTTATTTATTTAATATCTGGTTGACCGAGCTTCACTCGGCTCGTTTGGTAGTATTAGATCAGATTAGGACAGATAAATATGCGTATAGTATGCATTTTGAAGTACACGCGCTAATTAAAAGTACACATTAAAAAAGAAATTCCATAAGCAGTCTTTGTTTTAAACACTGATGAGTGACATGTAGAGATTAAAGAATAGAAAACTGGAATTATTGTCTGACATTTATTACAATCTCATCTGTTACCCAAGTTCTCTCTCTGTCGTTCTTTTTTTTTCTAATTCTCTCTCTCTCGACTCTAGAAAAAGGCCACAACCACATTCTTACTGCCAGAAGAGTTTCGCCTCTGGTGTGGTTAACATACTAAGTTACCGTGCTCTTTTGCGTTATTTCTAATTTCTCAATCTCAACCCTGCTCCCGAAGATGCGCCACTTACGAAAGTGTGCGAAACGTTGAGCCCAAAAACTCATATAACACGGCTCCAACCCGGAATACGATCACACATTGACTCCGACCGTGGAACCTCTGAAATGAATGCTTGACAACATAACTTCAATTCAACGCACTTTCGTGTGCCTTTTATCCGCTCACTGTTTAGTTTTCCGTAAATTTTCTCTCTTCAGAAGGTGAATTTTAGCGTCCTCTATACAGTGGAGTATGTTTCGGTACGTACAATTGAAGATAAAAAGGTACGTCAAACGTACTGTCAGACTGTCACCCAAACTTCTCTTATAAAACAATCTCGTGTTCTTGTAGTGTCATCTGATGTTGCCTAGCAACAAATATAATTCACTGCCTGAAAATTGCTGAAAATGTATGAAACTGTAATTTTCAGAAGTTAAAACTATGATGAATCGATTTCTTGACCCAAAAAACCCCCAACCTGTAAATTTCATCGAAATCGTTAGAGCCGTTTTCGAGAAACCCATTATATATACATATATACAAACTTTGCTCGTTTAATAGTATAAGATATACAGGGTGTTTTTGAAATACATGGAAACAAAAAATCTGGTGAATGTAGGGAACCTAAGAAGTCAAATGAACGTTTGTTGTTTTAGTAAAATTTTGAAAAGAAAATTTAACCCCTATCCAAACATTCATTCCTCCGCTGATAAATAATGGTTTCACGAAAAAATGTGAAACCTAGTAACTGAAAACTGCCGAGGTGTAACTACTGTTGCTATTAATTTATTGCTAGCAACAAATAAACAATGACAATAATTAATGAACTGACAATTAAAACTTCAAAATCATAATTTAATCAACCCTAAAATGAAACAAAACGTAACGTATGCAACTAGAGCAAGTTTTCAAAATGTCCACGACCATTTCGTATACACACTTCCGCACGTCTAATCAATGATTGTTGGGTTCTCGTTATCATTTCGGGATGTGCTCTAATTTCAGCAGCTACATTTGTTATTCTGTCCCAAAGTTCCTCAACAGAATTTACTGGTGTTCGGTAAACCAACTCTTTCATGTGACCCCATAAAAAGAAGTCGCACGCATTCAAATGAAACTCCCACTCGGTAAGACAATCGTCTAATGCTTATACCTGGATCGTTTTCAACGACACTCAAAATTTCTTCTTCGGCATCAACTGTCCGTTCTGTCCTTTCACGACCACGATCACTAAAACGAGGTTGAAATTTCCCATTTTCTCGTAGACGCTGACCAACGTTAGCAAATGTTTTATGATTTGGCAATCTTCGTTCGGGAAATGCTTCTTGGTATAAACGTCGAGCTTCCAAGGAGTTTCCTAAGGCTTGTCCATACATCAGAACCATGTCAGTCATTTCAGAATTAGAAAAATTCATTTTGTTCTTCCAAAAAATTGCAAAAACGTCAAAAAATGATGAGCTAATGAATGTATTGTCATGTTAACAAGCAACAATTTTACCTACTTTAAATTACTATAGTGATCAAATTTACCTTTAACATTTTTGGAATCAGTAGCGCACACGCAAATTTTAACAGATTTTCAATCAATTTTATCTCGAAAACTAAAGGATTTTTATTAGATCAATATTTGATGCATAAATTCTCTACATCATGACCAATTACCTTAAAAAAAGTTTCCATCTATTTCAAAAATACCCTGTATAGAAACTTTGCTCGTTTAATAGTATAAGATATTTAAGTCTCCTGGATACGATTTAATACTTTTTATTATGGCAAGAGGCAACGCTTCCAGAAAACGATTGTCTTCCACGAAAAGGAATCGAGGAAATGCCACCGCACTTCAAAGATGGAGAGATTTTCAGGTAAATGTTATAATTATTTAGTGTTGTAATAAAGCGTACGTAATTTAATTAATTTTAGAAGAATAAGAATAAGGCTGGAACGACTGCTGCAACTGTTCAGGATTCCACTGCAGATGTTTTGCCTTCCACTACTGGAAATTGTTCAGAACCGGTTGATATCTCTGAAGAAGTTATTACTAATTTTCAAAGTGATACCAGTTCGATCCGTATTGGTGAGTTTCTATTCTAGTGACATCCATAAAATTATCGACACTTTTAAAAATTAATTATAGAACTTTTTCGTTAAAAATTAAAAACAATTACCAAACAGTGCTTTATAATCACAGCGTTTTTAAAGCAGATTTTTTTTATTTTAGAAATATTGGAAGGAAATCGGATTGTAAATCTAAAGCATATCTTTGAAAGTTTAACAACAATATGTAGGCATGGCTCTAGGTTTGGTTGTACTTTTGAAAATTTAAAAATAGTAAAAGAAATCAGAAAAGGGCTGCTATCAAAATTTATTTTAAAATGCGAGATGTGTTTGGATACATTTTCTTTATGCAATCAGCCCTCCGAGAAAGGTGGAGATTTAAATGTGGCAGCCGTAAATGGCATTATGGAATTTTTAGCATGTCTTGATGTTCCAGCTATGTCTTCAAAATATTATTCTGTGTGCCACAATAAAGTAGCGTCTCAATAGAAAGACACTGCTCGAGAAATAATGGCAAAAGCTGCGAAAGAAGAAGCGGAGTACGCCCAACAAATCGGTTCCATTGATGATAAAGGGACCCCTTTGGTTCCAGTTGTAGCTGACGGTTGCTGGTCCAAAAGGTCATATAGAAATAATAGCAGCGCACTATCTGATGCTGCAGCTATTGTTGGACAGCATACAGACAAAGTTCTGTATATTTATGTAAAAAGTAAATTAAAATACAACATTTTAATACCATTATTAACAGTTAAATTATTAATTACCTAATGGCTTTACTTATATAATATCACTGGCAGAAAAAAATTAAATAACAGCAAAATACAAATTATTATGTAGTTAAGAATTTATACAGAATCCGATACCGAGAGAAATGAGTGTCTTTCAATGGGTTGGATCCATAAATTATTCTTACTAAAGGGGTGGTGAGCTGGACGTTTTTATGACATGCGATTAGAAGTGAGTCGGTGTTGACAGCAAGGGCAAATTGTCCGTTCTCAAGGACGAATTCTGGAAGGAATGTTCTTATGTCCAACTCACCTCTCAACTTCATGCTCACCAACTACACCAGTATCCAAGATAATGGCGACATTTTTAATTGTACACTAAAAGATATAAAAAAACAATTTCGGTCTGAACATTCCAAGTGACCTGCACATGTTATAATTCGTCAATTTTTGTTTTGTTTTATAATATTGTATTTTAATTTATGTATTATAACCGTGTCCTGTTATTGGGCTTAAAACCCGTTGGGCACTGTATTGAAATAAATAAATAAAATAAATAAATAAATAAATAAATAAATAAATAAATAAATAAATAAATAAATAAATAAATAAATAAATAAATAAATAAATAAATAAATAAATAAATAAATAAATAAATAAATAAATAAATAAATAAATAAATAAATAAATAAATATAATATGTAGTTTGTAAACTTCAGGATTTTAGTTTAAAAAGAATCATGTTTGAAGCTTTATTTTGTCTGTTCCATTTTATTGGATGTAACTGGGCCTCTTTCCCAACCTTCTTCAACTGAGTGGATGATTTATTACTTCGCTTATCATGTGCACGGACGTACCATATAGGACACCCCTGTAATTCACTTATCAGTGTTTGTGCCACGATGAAATTCAGTGTGGGAGATCTTTAGAATTTGTGATAAATTATGGTTTGAAAAAATTTTCAAACTTTAGGGGATGAGAGTGTGGACGGACATACGACAGAGGACACCCCTGTAATTCGCTTATCAGTATTTGTTCTTTTTCTATAATCCCACGATGTAGATAGTGGTCACTCATATTTTTAATAATTAGTTGTTTCATTTCATTTCTATACAGATTTGGACAGCATGTGTTTTCAAAAGGTTTTTTTAAAGAAAATTTTCTAATAATTGAATTATTATAATTCCGCAGTTGTAGCTATCTTGCTGCCTCTTGTAATTGTCACTGACTTAGCATGCCAGTTGGTTACGGGATTTTTTTTTATTCGATACAGTATTAGATTCTTTCGAAAATGTTTTAATTTTGTTTAACATTTCGTTAATATCACTAATGGCACCTTTACATTATGTGATTTAATCACATGACTAGTCACGTGATTTTTGTCATACGCTAAAATTTTACGTTTATATCGAGTGATTTTATCGTCGTCTGCGTTGATAGTTGGGTTGATAAACCTTGCCGAATAGCGAAATTGGACGATATGCAAAATTTGGACACATTTTGATGAGGGCGCTAGTTATCCTTCGTTGAGATTTGACCAATTTGACTGATTGTTCGATTTCTCGATGTCTCAGTTTTTGAATTTTTCGATTTTTGGATTTCTCGGTTTTTCGATTTTTTACTTTTAGGCTTTTCAGTTTCCCGATTTTCCAATTTTTCAATGTTCCGAATTTTTAGTTATTATCCGATTAGTCATTTTTTTAAATTGAATTGAATTTCTCGATTCTTCAATTTTGAGATATTTTAATTGTTCAGTGTTTTAAATTTTAGATTTTTCGATTTCTCGATTTTCTGATTTTTCGGTTCTTCAGTATTTCTATTTTTCAATTTTTCATAGTTTGACTTTGTTAAATTTTCAGCTTTCCTATTTCTCAATTAATCTATTTTTGATTTTCCCAGTTCTCAAAATTTCGATTATTCAATTCTTCGATTTTTCGACTTCGCTTTATTGGTTTTTCGATTTTTCAATTTTCCAATTTTTTGATTCCTCAATTTTTGGATATTTCTTTCAGTTTTGAAATTTTTCAAAATTTCGATTCTTTGACTTTTCGATTTTTCGACTTATGGATTTTTCGATTTTTGATTTTTGTATTCACAGTTTCTCGTTTTTTAAACTTTAAATTTTTCAATTTTTCGATTGTTTCATATTTCATTTTCTCAATTTTTCAGCTTTTCCATATTTTAATTTTTCAATTTTTAAATTTCTAGATTTTTCGATTTCTCGAGTTTGCAGTTCTATATTTTAATTTTTCAATTTTTCGAATTTTTAAATTTTCGATGTTTCAATTTTTTGAGATCTCGATTTATCGAGATTCGAATGTTTCGATGTTTTTTTGTTAGTTAACCTATTTTTGCATTTTCCCATTTCTCCACTCCCCAAAGTTTCGAATTTTCAGTTCTTCAGTTCTTCAATTTTTCGATTCTTCAGGTTTTTGATTTTTCAATTTTTCGATTTTTTGGGTTGGCGATTTTTCGACTTTGCTTTTTGACTTTTCGGTTTCTCATTTTTTTAATCTCCTAATTTCTGGATATTTCGTTCAATTTTGTGATTTTTAAATTTTTAGATTCTTCAATTTTACTTCTATTTTTCAATATTTGAGTTTTGGGATTTTTTAGTATTCCGAATTTTCGAGTTCTGGATTTTTCGATTTCTCGACATTTTACTTTTTGGATTTTTAATTTTTCGTTTTTTCAACTTTAGATTTTTCAATTTTTTAACTGTTTTATGCTTCGATTTCTCAATTTTTTAACTTTTCGATATTTTAACTTTTCAATTTTTTTAATTTTAGGTTTTTCGATTTCTCGAGTTTTCAGTTCTTCTATATTTCAATGTTTCAATTTTCGGAATTTTAAATTTTCAATTTTCCATTTTTACTTTCCGAGCGTAAGCAAAGGAAGTATTGTAATCGAGTCCATCGGCCTCATCTCTACTTTTACGTTTTCTCGGCCTTTCATGAACCCTAGAAAACGAAGAAATAGGTCTGCCATTTCCGTCTGTCTGTCCGTCTGTCTGCCGTCCCGGATTTTTATTAGACAGATAATCTCCGAAAGTACTGGACCGATTGTTGTGAAATTTTGTACTTATATTAGGAATATCATGTAGATGGTAAAACGCTAACCAAAATTTGTCTAATCATCCCCACTACTAATGCGATGACGTCACTTCAAAATTGTACATAGTAAATGGGTTTTAAATTGTATAAAATAACATAGTCCTACAAATGTAGTTTACAACTCCGAATTGAGTTTTCACCAGAAACGTCCAGATTTTTGGAAAAAAAATCAAAATTACAAAACAACATTTTGAAATTTAATCTTGAATCTGCTAACCCGAATGCTTTGAAATGTTGCAGATGTTTTAAGGCTATAAAGAGCATTATAAATTTTTAGTCAAAATATATTTGGTTATCCCCTCCAAAAACTTGATGACGTCAGCTCAAAAGTTTGCCGAATAAATCATTTCTAAAATGTACAAAATATGATGAGTCTGTACTTGTGATCTATCACTCCATTCATATTTTCTGGATTTGCATATACAGGGTGACTCAAAAAAATTAATTAATGCGTAAATTTATTTAAGTGCTTTACTCAGGAACTACAAAACCGAATGCTTTGAAATCTTGCAGATGTTTTAAGGTTATAAAGAGCATAATAAATGTTTAGTCAAAATATATTTGCTTATCCCCTCCAAAAAATTGATGACGTCAGCTCGAAAGTTTGCCGAATAAATAATTTCTAAAATGTACAACATATGATGAGTCTGTACTTATGATCTATCATTCCAGTTATATTTTTTGAATTTGCATATACAGGGTGACTCAAAAAAATTAATTAATGCGTAAATTTATTTAAGTGCTTTACTCAGGAACTACAAAACCGAATGCTTTGAAATCTTGAAGATGTTTTAAAATTATCATAAGCATGGTAAATTTTTTATCAAAATGTATTTGGTCGTCCCCCCTAAAAATTTATGACGTCACCACAAAATTTTGCTGAATAAATCCTATCTAAAATGTACAAAATATGGTGAGTCTCTTTCTGTGATTTATCATTCCATTCAAATTTTTTCGATTTGCATATACAGAGTGACTCAAAAAATTAATGAATGCGTGAATTTATTTTATTGAGTTAATCAGGAACTACAAAACCGAATGCTTTGAAATCTTGCAGATGTTTTAAGGTTATAAAGAGCATAATAAATGTTTAGTCAAAATACATTTGTTTATCCACTCCAAAAAATTTATGACGTCAGCTCGAAAGTTTGCCGAATAAATCCTATCTAAACTGTACAAAACATGATGAGTCTGTACTTGTGATTTATAACTCCATTGATATTTTTTGGATTTGCATATACAGGGTGACTCAAAAAAATTTATGAATGCGTACATTTATTTCATTGATTTACTCAGGAACTACAAAACCGAATTCTTTGAAATCCACTGCGAAAAAAAAACATAATAGGCATGCAGTCGTCACGTGTCCGACAGCGAGGGAAGTACTGTCTAAACTCTTTAGACCAATTTTTTTTTTAATTTTTCGATTTTCCAATTTTTCGTTGGTTCGATTTTTCTATTAACCGATTGTTTATAATTTTTCGATTTTTAAATTTTAGATTTGCTAATTTTTATTTTCTTGATTTGTTCTTGTTTGGATTTCTCGATTTTACAACCATTGCTATGCATTAAAATGCCTACTGACAAGCACGTACACACAAGACGCATTTAAGGCTGTTTTAAGCTTGCTACATTTAATTTTTGCGATTTTTAATTTATTTCTTGATGTCTAAATTGTATATATTTAAATGGTGGTAAATATTTTGTGATAAAATATACTTACATAAGATGTTCATATTGAATTAATTGGTGTTCATAGTTTGATGATAACCTTTAGTTATTCTGGAGGCAAATTAGATGACTTGTTACTTATTAATTAAAGTAGTGCTCGTTTAATTTCTTGCCTTTAAAGTGGCCGAAGGGACGCATATTGGTTAGCCATGCAGTTCATAGATAATACTTATACTGCGATAATATTAATTTTTTGTTTTTGTGCAAATATGCGTGCTATCACATTCATGAAACAGGTCTGCACTACATATAAACATATACATATATGCAAAGTCTTCAACTCGTACGTTCGCTTATTTTGTGACTACTCCCCGTACAACGTACTGACTAATACGTCCGTTTACTACCTTATCGATATCACGTGCTTACACACTATTCTTACCCCCTTTCGTAAGGTACCGCCACTTCATAGTGAAACGAGTGAGATGTAAAATATATGTTCATTCTTTTCTACATGGGAAAGTGATTCTCCGTATAGGGTATAGGTTGTCCATCTAGAATATGCAATGATAATAGACATCGTGCACTCGATACAGCTGTAAAACTGCGTAGCACAAAATCGGTCGGACCAAGTCCACTTTCAAATTTAAGGGGTGGGCGCACCTTCAGAAGCGTCCGTCATCGTTCCTCTGTCATAGTGAAGTTTTCTTGCGTAAGGGTAACTTTTTAGATTAGTGCTTAATAGATTCATTCGCATTCGTGCTAGCTTGTTGGCCAGTTCACCTAAGTTTATGTTATCGTTTGCGATTTCAAAAAAATAATTTAAACAACCACCCCCTTCTGAAATGTGCACGTTGCACTACTGACTGACAGTTTGTTGTCAGATTCTGATGACTCACCATGTTGAACTTAAAATGATCCATCTCTACATAATTAAAGTAATAATTTACGGCATAGGAATTAGAATAATTATTATTACCAATGTGACGTGCTTCGAGGCAACAGATTTTTGTAATTAATTCTTAGTGAGATGTTAATGTGATTAATCACTTTGCAAATTTTATAATTAACGTTCTTTTCTATATTTTAGGTTTCAACACAATCCATACGGATCATTATAACATTTCCGGGTCGGCGTCATTTTCCATTTATTTTTTAAATGTTCCTTGTGGAATAAGGTTCAAAATATATGTGGATTCTGGTCACTATTATATATCAAAAACAATAAGTGATATTTCGTGGATTCATTACACAGTAAATGTCGTAAATGGATATGTATATATCTATGAAAATGATCGGCGCTTACAAGTTTGGAGGGTGAATTCGAATATCCCTAATGTTTTTATCCAAACAACTTGTGAATCTACGTGGAAGATTCATAAATGTAAGTAAATTCAAATGTTATAGTGTCGTAGTATTTTGCACAAAAATTTCGCGAATAATATATCTTTTATTGTAAATATTAATTCCATTCTGCATAGTTAATTTTGTTGAAGAAGTTGTGTACGTGATCACTCAAATCGCAAATCAGGAAACTACAAAAACATTCACGTTTTACTTGTGAAAACTAAGCTGTGTTAAAACAGTATTCTTGCTTCGCAAGTATCCGTAACTGTAGCCCTAAAATTCCACATTCCACAAATATCTATACTTGAGGAAATTACATTTACTCTCTTCGTACATATTCTTTACTGTTTGGCTCAAAACTTTTGTTGATCTGTCATCGTATGTACACATTAGTTATTAAAATTTTTTGCTCAATCTGTACAGATAAAACATATTGCACAATAGTTTGCAATTTATTTATCAAGCATTTAATGAACAAAAATTTGAAATATAGGAAATTTTTTACTAAGCTGTACTAACATTATTACAAAAATTGATGTGCTGTACCCCTCCATTAACTGTATATTGTCTTATTTGTACATAACATGTTTTAACAATATTTTATTTCAGATCGAGTCAGAGTCGCAAATAAGCTTTCTCCAGCACAAGTATCCTTGACTATCCCACCTGCAATATCTTGCTTGATGTTCTATGTTTATCTTTGTCCAGGCTGTCTTTTAGAAATCCAAGCATCTAGAAACTACAGTTTGCAAGTTAAACCTGATGACACGACTAAGAATGGGTTGTTCAAAAGTCAAGAAGTTTTAGTCGAAGTTAATAGGAATTTAAATTTGGTTCCACAAACATTACATGGAGTAAAACAAACGTTTTGGGGAATAGACATACGAAAGTGTCCTAACATAAAACTCAATAAATGTAAGTTAAGTTTCCATGTGTACATTCCAAAATTATTACGTTCAGTTAATTTATTCATGTTTTAAATAATCTTTATCTGTAAATTAAAGTTAAAAAATCACTAAAACAGTTAATACTAAAAATATCCACTCGTCTGGAATTAAATAAGTGGCATCATTTTTGTCGCACGAAATAGAACTTGGTAGACAGTTATTATTAGTCTAAAATTTTACAATAACTAAAATCGTGATAAGTGTTTCTTCATTAATTTTGCTACAAAACTAAAAGTCCACAAAAAGCATAAGTGGATAAAACCGATGGTGGTGGTGAACTAACTAATAATGGTGCTATTGCTACCATCCATTGCCAAACTGAAGTAGTCTTTGAGCCTGGTACCTTATTCTCAGCTGAATAACGTTGATTTCTACCGTTGTTTCGTTTATGATCGACGTACATTCTCCAGGTACAGTCTTCAGTTTTATTATTAAGGATATATGTAGTTCCTAGATCTGCAGCTCTCATGCGTTCACTACGAATGTACAGCTGATACCTCACCGACAGTATCAATTGTAGTTGTCACTGGAGTTCCATTAATCTTTTCCGGGAAAGTGGAACTACTGCCTCTGGTTCCTATTTTCACTTCGCTGGTGGCTACATTCTTATGATTTCATGTCATTTATTTGATATTTATTTGCTGCTATTTCATTTTTGTTTGCTTCCAGGAATTTTTCACTTAGGCTGACAAGTATGTAATATTTTTAGTTATTTTATTTTTTCACTCTTTTTTTTGTCTATTATGTCCATTTTTTGGTCTGTTTTCTCCATTTTGCATGCATTTTAGCTACTAGCTACTAGCTAGCTTATGGTTCACAAAATTGACAAAAAAAATAATTTTACTTTGTTAAGACAAAGTAGATAGTCTGTTCATCCAAGCTTCAGAGTTATTGCACCTGTGTCAAGTTTCGCCGTTCTTTTCTTTTTTACTTTTCTTTTGAATTTTAGTGGGGTAGCTTCACCGTTTTTCTCTTTATGACCTTCTTGGTCGTTGTCTTTACGTCTATTTGTTGTATGGTGTTAACATTGTTAATCAACGTAATTTCATTTATGTCGATAACACCAGCTTCTTTAAGCTTTGAATATCTGTTTCACTAAAAGCGTAAACATAATCAGGTATTGCATCAGAAATATAGGAGGAATACCAGTAACTTCGAAACTAGCAATTATATTCTTAACTTATTTAATTGATACCTGGCAAATGCCTCGATATGGTTGATGTTTGAACCAAAAACAGCCCATTTAAAGGTTGTAAATAAAGTGTAGAATGGCTCAGAAAGTATAAAAGAATATAGCATCGCTCTCACGATAACCAAAATTTGTCTGATTATCTACCGACAATCTGATGAGGTCATGTCAAAATTTTGCATAGTAAATGCTTTATTGTAATATCGAATTGTTGAAGGTTCTTCTATATTGTTACACTAATGCACAAGTGTAAGTTGGTAATTTTAAAAATTTTACAGCAATATACGAGGTCCAGTTGAGCAACAACGAACGAGAAAAAAACAGAACATGCGAATTCTTGTCTCCAAATAGTGAGAGTCCAAGCAGGATCGCAAAAGTATTTCCAGAAAATCAGTGTGAACCTGGATTTTTGGGACAAAAATGTGACTTACGCTGTGACGAATTGCTGGGACCAGAGAAAACTTATTGTGAAAATCACAAAATTTGTGAAAAATTTTCAAATAATTCAATCTGTTCGTGCTCCTGGGGATTTCAAGAGCCACTATGTGTTCAACGTAAGATAATGTTATTACTTATTACACTAAATCTTGATTTGAAACAATTATGTTACAATTGTAACTTCAGTTTAAAAGGGACTGAGTCCAGCTTTCGTTTCAGAATAGCAAAGTCAAATACAATTAGATCAAATCAAATTAAAGATAGAAGAACAACAATCCAAAGTTTCCTTTAATTAAATTTAGCCCAAAAATATCTTCTTAAGAATAAAAAAGAGTATTAAATTAAATTTTCTGATTTTTCTTTCGGTACCACGTTTGGTAAGATAAACTTCAATAATTTTAGGATCAAAAGAAAGTTTACTTAGAGATAAGCTCGAAAATGTTATAAAATGCAGGGTATTCCATTGAAAAACACTGAAAAACTTACAATTTACGATTTTAATCATTAGGTATAAATAATGTAACTATTTTTCCACGAAAATACAAACGTTTTGAAAATTGTTGGCGAAGCAACCTTTGCGTCTGATATTGTTTTCGTTTTCTAAAAAATCTATAAATTTATAGGGGTGCTGCTACTGGAAAGACCTAATGGTGGTGTATAATCTTCAAACGAAACACCAACTATATTTGGATCCTATTTTACATTTTAGCATTAAGTTTTAGTACAATTTCTAAAGCATAAGGACTTCAGTTCCTAAAATTGTGGTTTGTAAAGTATCCTTAACAGTAACCAATAATTAAGATACAGTGTTTTCAAAAATACTTTCGGAAGAACAAAACAACAAAAACATTTGGTTATACAATGCAAGTTAAAATATCTTTCCAGTAGAGAATTAGAATTCCGTTGTTTTCCTTCAGTTTCGAAAACTCTTATGAATGCGGTGTATCCGTTCTTCGCTTTAAAAAGTTAGTTGTTTTTGCATACTCCCATTTTCTTTTGCTATTTTTATTTTATTTTATTGTTTTTATAACGTCGATTTTATTTTCTCACTAAAATATAGAGCTTGTCCGAATAGTTGTAGAGATGACAAATCGCATTAAAAAAAAGTGTCTTCATAGCAAGTCAAAAAATATTCATGCCAAAAAAAGTATTTTAATTAGATGTAAAATATATTGTTGAGACATCACAGTACATTATTAAGGACTATTTAATTTATGTTTAACATCTTTGTTTAGTTTCTACAACAATTATTGTTTGTTAGAGTTTTTGAGAGATTGTTTAATCCAGTTTAATTTTAATACTTACCTTAGTATTAGTTGAATGAAATTAATTTGATGGTTCGCAGCATGTATGGATGGAATGTGGGGTTTATCGTGTAAACGCACATGCAAGCACTGCCAAAATTGTGATAAAAAAACAGGAGAATGTATCACGGGTAAGTAAATAGTTTTGAAAAATATTTTAAATGCTTTCAGGCACGTAGTATAGTTAACTCGCTAAAATGGACTTTATTTCTTCTTTCTTCCCATAATATAAGTACCTATATTTTTTTAAATTTAATACTGTTGATTCTTTTTAAGTAATACTCTATTTTTTAAAACTGTTATTATTGTTACAATTTACAATGTTTTAAAATTTAGTCAGTCGTGTTCAGCATGTAAAAATGTGTAAATAGCAAAAAACAAGACGTATTACTTTTAAGTTCAAAAAATTAAATAACGCTTAAACTAGCGTCTTAGGCCCGGTATTTCAGTAGTTGGTTAAAATCAGGGTTAACTAACCTTGGTTAAATTTTAACCAAAACTTTAACCAAGAACCGGTATTTCAGTGTCGAAAATTTGGTTAAGTATATTCTGGTTAACTAACCATTATTTCTCTTAAGTTGGTATCGTAATTGGTCTACCAGTTGAAAAGAGCATGTGCGAGGATATATTCTTTCATATTTTGGTGGGCGTGTAGGCGTTTTTATAACCTCACTTTTGCTTTATTTACATTTTGATTGTGAAAGTGTTGTTTCTTTTTAAGTGAATCGTGTGAAAAATAATTTAAAAAAATGGCAAATATTTACTCTTCTAGCGATAGTGACTCAGACGATGAGCAAGTTATTAATTTTGTTGTCCGCTTGGGACGAATTCGCAAAGTTCCTAGAATACAGATACGAAAGGACCATTTTAATTACTGGGACGACCAAGAATTTTATTGTAGGTTCAGACTGTCAAAAGAATCTGTAACAAATTTGTTACATTCAATTCATGATGTCATAAAGCATCCGACAAATTGGTATAAAATATACAATTTAAAATAATATAAGCTGTTTAATGAATCTATTTCAGGAATCACGCTCTTACATCAATGGAAATGTTGTTAATTACACTCCGATTTTTCGCGACAGGCAGTTTCTTAATTGTAATTGGAGATTTTGGAGGTGTTCACAAGAGTACTGTGGGAAAAGCAATAAACAGAGTGAGTGAAAGACAAAACTGGTCATAAAAATGTTACCTATGTTACAATAAATTGAAGGTTACAAGAGCTATTGCAAATTTGCGGGAAGAATACATAAAATTTCCTCAAACAGAAGAAGAAATCTCTATAGTGCAGCAAGGTTTTTATCAACTTGCAAGATTCCCACGAGTTGTTGGTGCTTTAGATTGCACACATATCAAAATAAAGTCACCGGGTATGTTAATAAGGTATTTTGTGTTAACGGACATTAGTATAGAAAATTTTGCAGGTGGAGAAAATGCTGAAATTTATCGCAATCGGAAAAATTTTTTCTCCCTGAATGTGCAAACAATTGCTGCTTCTAATTTAAAAATAATAAATATTGTAGCAAGATGGCCCGGTTCTGCTCACGACTCAACAATTTTTAGAAATTCTGAGATTTGCAGAAAATTTCAAAATGCAGAAATGGAGCGTGCAATACTTGTTGGGGATGCAGGTTACCCTATTCAAAATTTTTTAATGACGCCATTGGCAGTGACAAATACAATTGCTCAAAATTTATATAACGAGTCACTGATTAGAACACGAAACCCAGTTGAACGTTCTTATGGTGTTTGGAAACGACGCTTCCCGATTTTAAGCAATGGCATAAATCTACACCTACGAATGGTTCCCTGGGTAATTGTAGCCACAGCAGTCTTGCATAATATCGCAATTTTAAACGACGAAGATGAACCACCTCCCTTAAATCTCGAAGAGCAAAGAGCTTTTGATTTGGCAGATGATGTACCAGTTGCTGATGATGTAAATAGAAATAATAACAACAGAGCAAGAAATGAATTCATTGCATATTTTGCAAATTTGTAAATTTACATACATAATGTAGAAGTTTATAAATTATTTCTAAATTCATTAAATGCAATTTCAGCTCATGTTCCGCTCTATGCTTTAGTTGGTTTAGTATTTTTCATTGTTCACATCACTTATGTATTCATCTAACCAAGTAAATAAAAACAAAATTATATGAAATTAATTTATTATATCTCACTGATTTACTGATTATTATCAACATCGGAGAACGTGATTTGTTGTTTCAACAATGTCATCCTTAATGCATGCTCCTCCTGCATTAATTTCAATTTTACACAATGTTCTTCTTCACGATGTCGCAGTTTTTGCTCATGTTCCTCCTGCAATTGGTTCTTCATTATTGCATGGATTTCCTGTTTTTGCTTGTGGTCTTCTTCAAGTAACTTTTTTTTGAAAACTGAGTTGTTCCTTTTCTCGTCGGCAAGCTGACACCATTTGTAATTAGTAATATTTCCACCCACTCTTATTTTACCTGCGGAGTACATTTTATTTTCAAAGTTACTTATTACTATTATTAATTATGTCAAATCACCTTTCTTTGAAACATGTAGTGGTTTCGAGGGAAGCTTTTTTAACATCCTTGGAGTGTATTGTGACCAGTCTGAAAAAAAAATAACCATGTGTTTAATGTTTAACAATACTTTATATCTTACCTAATTCATTTTCCTGTGTATCCCCCGGTTGTGCAACTACGTCTTCTTCTAAAACTAAAAATAAAATATATATTATAATTTTAATAACAATTAATTTATTACTTTGCACTTACCTAATTGTGATGAAGAGGCACTGTTTTCTGTGAAGAAGCTGTTTGACGTCCCCATATTCTCTACAAAAAAGGTGTTATTATGAAATTTACAAGTATGTATATATTTTTTGTATAGCTACCTTCATTTTCAATCTCTGGGACAATTGAATCCTCAATTTCATTTCCGTTTCTTATTTCTTCTACATCTAAGACTTAAGAATCAATTATAACCATGTTGTTGTTATTTTAATGTCTAATAAGTGATAACTTACCATCATTATCACACACCGCTGGTAAACCTGTCAATCTGTCTCCCAAAATTTCGCGGACAGTTGCGTCTACTGACGTCTCTGTTGGGCCTTTGGAGGGACCACCGCCAGTGCCTCGTGCGTATTTTTTATCGTGGGCAAAATTGCGAACTGCGGTTTTTTTTAAATTTGTCCATTTGTCTTTTAGATTCCTGGACGTTCGAGGCACGGTACCAGAAATGGCATTAAATGTTTCTGTCAACTTCTCCCAGGCTATCCCCTTTTGCTTATTATTGACGATTCCAGTTTCTTTGCACTCGATCACCTTCTTGTTTTGTCTAACCAAATCTACAAGTAGGCAAATTTCTTGTGTTTCAAAATTTTTTGATCTAACACGTTCACGTTCACTGTTCATCCTGTAGCTTTTATTATATACTTAACAGAGAAAAAAAACACAACAACAGGCACGAGGTACACGAGAAAACGAGGTTAGAATGGTGATTAATAACAAGAACAACTGTCAAAACTGGTCTTCAAAATGTCTCCCAAAATTTCGCGGACAGTGGCGTCTACTGCGCATGTGTTAACCAAAAAAATAATGGTTAAACCACCTAGCTGGGCTGGGTTAAAGTAACCAAGAAATTTAACCGTCAAATATCTTAACCCCACACTGAAATACACTTAACCAAAACTTTTTTTGGTTAACTATAATTTCTTGGTTTAACCAACAACTGAAATACCGGGCCTTAGAGATTTTTAGACATAGGGATTCCTCCTGGTATTTTACCTAGAATAGAAAACGAATGAACGAACGAACGAACAAAACAAAGAAACTTGCTAGTATATATAGGTTTGGTAATTTTTACATTTTTAAATTTGTTTAATTTCAACTATTTGATTACCATATATTATTATTTCACCGGTGTGAAGACCAGCAACGATTTTAGTTCGAACCGTAATTTCATGCAGGCGGCACACACATAGAAATACTTATAAGGCAACCCTGTAATTCTAATTAGCTTATCAGTGTTTGTACCACGATGTAATTCAGTGTGGGAGATCTTTAGAATTTATAACGAATTGTGGTTTGAAAAAAATTTCAAATTTTAGGGGATGAGGGTGTGCACGGACATACTATACATATAGGGCACCCCCGGTCTAGGACAATTCGGCGCAGCCGACTTGGCGCACTATTCGATTACCAGATATTATTTTATTTTACGTTTATTTGCAGTGTTTGTAAATCTACAAAATAATTGTGTAATTTTTGTTTTAAATAATTTTACAAATGAAATAACTACAGGTTTTCTGCTTCACACTCACTAAAAAAATAAAATAATCCTGTTAATTTTAGGCAGTTCGTAAACATACCGCCTCCAACATCAGAAGTTTACATATATTTTCTTATGCTGGAATATGTTTTAGCTCGCCTTAAAATGACGAAGAGCTTATGTATATTATGGTTACCTGGTTTCTTAACAAATTCTGTGCTAAACTCGTTTTAGTTTTTTACTCCCTACTGGGTTAATCTTCTCTTTGTGGAGACGAACCAGGTATAATAATCCTAGCAGGTCAGGTAAACGATTCGTGGAGAAAAACAAAACAACATTTTTGAGTATTTGGGATAAAGTAATTGTAAAGGTCGCTGAATTACTCAAAAGTAATTTTCAATTACCCACGGAATCTTCTGATTACGCTTGAAGGCAATTAGTGGTCAGACTTTTCGCTAAAATTTTTTTATTAATCCCTTAACACTAAAGAACAAAGGATATGTGGCGACACAATAACATGTTGGCAAGTGAGGAAAAGATAAGCACAGTTCAGTTGGAAGAAATACTCGTCAGGCAAGCGTAGAGAGGTGGGTTTGAATTCCACTGCGGTTGTACATTTTTCCTTCGCTTCCCATAGATAAAACCATGACTCGTAGAAATAAAAAAACAATAGTTATTAGTAAGTCTCGTATGGGGTTAATTATTGGTGTCAGTAGAATCTGACAGACAAATAAGCGTACGCTTATTCCGAAATGTATACAAGCTTGCCACGTATTTTGTTTGTACACTTATTCAAAATAAGGGCATTTGTTACAAGGACTGTATTTTTAATGACGTTATGCTATGTGTTCGAAAAAAAGCCCAGGCCCATAGCTGTCTTTTTTTGAGCACAATGTGTGCATAGTACAAGAAGACGTGGTATGATATTGCGCATTTTGTGTGAGGTCATCGTCACGTTGATGTCATGACCGCCAATTTTAAATTCTGGCCTGTTGCCTGTTTGTATTATCATTATCACAATTAACGAACTATAGCAAATTTTGAACACATGTTATTAGCATCTGATTTCAACTTAGCATCTTCGACGTTAAGTCAACCCATGATTCAAAACTGACCGAATCTCAATCTTGGTTATAACCTCACATGTCACTGATAAATTGACATTTGACAGCTTTCGCAATTGTCAAAAGATCGTTTCAAGCACGGTTTTCAAGGCAATGTGACGTTACGTAGCTGGTGCGCAAGGCAGACGAAAATTCATCTAGTAGACTAGCGTACCATATCTTCTTGTATGTACCATGAATGTGTGTACGCCAAATTAAATCGTTTTTTAAATACACTACAATCAGATCTGAAAATTGTTTAACGTTCATTGGTTTTTATCCACGACAAATCTTCTAGTTGCTTCCATCAACTCGAATTATATTTCAGAAGAGAAGAAAATTCTGTCTAAATATATATTTTTTTGTCCGGGAGGGGAAATGCCTTGGGCAGACCGCCGTGTTTGTTCTTGGCATAGGACACTGCAATAATTTGCTTACCACCCTAAATTCCCCCCCATTTGTGCTCAGATACCAGAACTTTGTCCTCTTCACCTGGGTTCTGACTTCTGAGTGGTCACAGAGATGCTGTGCCACTGCAGTTCGGATCTAAATATCTGTAAATTAGTTCTTTAAATTTAGATTCAATCTTTGTTTCTCCTCTCCTCCACCTCTCCCCCTTTCTCTCTCGATCTCCCCCTGTCACTCCCTCTTCCTTAACAGAATACACAAGTGAATTGATATTTATATTTATTTTTCAGTTAACTGATTCCAAGTGTGCCTACATTTTGTTATTTTGTTTATTTGAAATGTTTACAAATCAGCAAAATAATTGGTGTAAAATTTGTTTTAGGTAGGGGAACTAGGGACTTGTTGTAACAGGGGTAAGTTGTAACACTAAATTTTTACCTGGAATTTAAACTCTTTAACGTGAAGTTTTTTACTTTAATTTAATTCTTGCACCATAAGACATCATGTCATCACAACCACTGTTCCTTCACCAAGCGCAGTGAGTGGATGTGTGCACGTGTTTCGTTTTGGCCAAGTAATGTAAAATATTGTTTTAGTACAATTTAGTTTTTCGTATCTGTTATTAATTAATTTTAAACTTTTAGGTTTGCATGTAGTTCAAAGATTACTCAGCTTTGATATTCCTTACACATTTTGACGCTAAGCGACATAATTTTGTCGAAATGTAATTAAATGTAGAAAATTATATTACGGGGCATGTTGTAACAATATTTTGCCGCAAATTTTAACATGTTACAACTTATCCCAAATTCACTTCTACAAATCTCGTACCTAGCATACGAAAAGCGAGCCAACATTTTGACCTATGACATATATCGCTTTCCAAATATATTAAAAAAAAGAAAAACAAAACTCAAATCTTTAATGTTGACTCTTTTTCTAAAAGTTTATTTCAGTTTTACTGATAAATATTATATATAAGGAAGTGTTGTGTTGATTTTTGAAAAATAAAGTATAAATATGTATCAACATCAGCTTTATTTTCACTGTTACTACCTGCCTCATGGCTATTACAACTAGTCCAAAATACGGGGCAAGTTGTAACAATGCGCCTTTTTTTAAGAAAATGCCTGGTGTGAAGTGAATATGAACAATTTTGACCTTTTGGCTGTTCAGTCCAGTAGGGGAATATTAAGACTACCGACAGATACTTTTATAATGGTCAAACAGCTAATAGATACCAAATTATATTCGTTGTCCTAAAAACTGTTACAACAAGCCCCTCGTTCCCCTACAACACATTTGTCACAAGCAAACCAATATAATCATTTTGCATCAAGAAGTTGACGGTTTGTCAATGTCTCTAAAAATACAAAAATCATTATATTAGTTTCAGGCTCAATAGTGTTTTCAAACATATCGTCTCCAAAATCAAATCACTCAACTAAAGCTTATTTTCTGCTGCCTAAAGATGGTTTTATAAATTCAACAGAAGAAATTATTGCATACGCTTTATTTTTATTTGAAGAGCATGTAAAGATAAAGCGCACAAGTGGATCATGGAATGGAACTTTAGGAAGTTGGCCTTCTATTCCGGAAAATTCTATACAACTTACACCCAATTTTTGGAATCCGTTCACCGGTTTGTATTCAGTAATTGTTAGTTCAGTAATTTTATGTAATGTAAATTTTAGATGAAAATCTTACCTGCGATTTTATAATTGGGGATGACAGCAGTTGTTGTAAAGTACACTGTTATAATACACCTTTAAAATCCAATACCAATTATGGTTTAGTGGTTAGAGCGTTAACAAACCACGCATATAATGATAGCTCTTTGCTTTTTTTCCATACAGGTAATTTAATTATTGTTTTTTACCAGTCACAAACATTTAAATACTTCTAATTTTTTCTACCTCATGCCATTTTGCCTCTAATGCAGCGGATGTTCAGTTGAAAAATCATTCAGAGTAGGCATTCGAATATCATTTGATAGAAACGACATGTCTGTTCTTCTAACATCTAACATACAATAGGTTATTTTTTTGCCTAATGGATGTTATAAAAACAGACATTTCCATTGTGTTAAATGAAATTCCAACGCCTACTTCGAGTAATTTTCACTTGAACACCCGTTAGTTTCATGTAAAAAAAAAAACTGACTATCACACACTATACTCTGGACGGCCAAGAACTAGAGTTGTAAAACCAAATGGGCTGTCCTTGTTGCGCATTGCTGTAATACGCAGAAGAAAATATTTACGCTGCAACATATTTTTTGCAGAAGTATTTTTCGTAGATATATTGTTGGTTGGCTATGAAAGGACAACAGAAATAAATGTTATGTATATCAAATTTGCTATATTCTGAAAATTATTCTTAAAACTCGATAGTTTATTTTTAATATATAACCAAAAAGATAAATATACAAAATTCGTATATTAATGATTTACAAAATACAAGACCTTATACTTTCAAAATTTATTACAAAAACAAAATTTCATCCCATGAATCACTTTCTTCTGCTAAACAGCAGGACAACCGAACACACATCAACAATCACAAAAAATCATAAAAAGCTAAACTAACCAGTCAAATTAAACTAACTCTTGAATACGTGACGTAATTAAATATACAAAAAACTAAAGTAACTTTACTTTATTTAAATCTAATCTTGAACTAATTAACAAAAATAAAAGCCTACAAGTCTAAATACAAACTGGGAAAAAAAAACACACGTTCAAATTACGCGCGGAGGTATGGGCGTTTCGTTTACTCTATTTCTTCGCTGTCCAGACTATAGAACAATTTCAGAAGTTTGCACTAAGTATACTATGCCACGAAACCTGGGTGTAGGTGACGGGCCGTAAGACACGCTTGGCCGGTCTTGGCGATAAGGTCGCTTTCACTCCACGGGACTGGTCCATTCTACGGGGCTGTTGCTCGGGAGCCAGTTTCCTATCCGGAGAGAAAGCACCTTGGGTACCTATTGTAGCTTGAGAAACGTATCTCCAGTGTCTCGCGATAGATAGAAATAATATTCGGGTGAATCTTAAAGAAAATATTCGGCTTTTTTGGCTTTTATTTTCTGCTAAACTCGTTTTAGTTTTTAATTCCCTACTGGGTACTTCTCTTTGTGGGGACGAAACAGGTATAATAATCCTAGCAGGTCAGGTAAACGATTCGTAGAGAAAAACAAAACAACATTTTTGAGTATTTGGGTCAAAAGTAATTGCATAAAGTAATTGTAAAGATTGCTGAATTACTCAAAAGTAATTCAATTACCCACGGAATCTTCTGATTACGCTTGAAGACAATTAGTAGTCAGACTTTTCGCTAAATTTTTTTTATTAATCCCTTAACACCAAACAACAAAGGATATGTGGCGACACAATAACATGTTGGCAAGTGAGGAAAAGATAAGCACAGTTCAGTTGGAAGAAATACTCGTCCGGCAAGCGTTGAGAGGTGGGTTCGAATCCCACTGTGGCTGTACATTTTTCCTTCGCTTCCCATAGATAAAACCATGACTCGTAGAAATAAAAAAAACAATAGTTATTAGTAAGTTTCGTATGGGGTTAATTATTGTTGTCAGTAGAATCTGACAGACAAATAAGCGTGCACTTATTCCAAAATGTATACAAGCTTGCCACGTATTTTGTTTGTACACTTATTCAAAATAAGGGCATTTGTTACAAGGACTGTATTTTTAATGACGTTATGCTATGTGTTCGAAAAAAAGCCCAGGCCCATAGCTGTCTTTTTTTGAGCACAATGTGTGCATAGTACAAGAAGACGTGGTATGATATTGCGCATTTTGTGTGAGGTCATAGTCACGTTGATGTCATGACCGCCAATTTTAAATTCTGGCCTGTTGCCTGTTTGTATTATCACTAACGCGCGGAATTGTATCTCATACGCTAGAACCAGTGCTGTCGCGGCGATAGTTTGATTACAAATATATTTTTCTTTTGGACTATTTCAACATAATATAACATTTCAAGATCACAAACCTGTGGTCCTGCGGTTGAAAAATTAAAAAGGGCATCAAGTATTATTATTTCAAGTAATATAGTAATATAGAAGTAGTTTTTTTACTAGCTGTAAACACTCCTAGCGACACACTGGCTACGACCTTGTGGACCAGATCAAGGCGTCCCCACTACTCGCCGTAAAACACACCTTACTTCAACTGGGGGATTGCAGCCGTGAAACAAATTCCCGCGTACTGATTATCACAATTAACGAACTATAGCAAATTTTGAACACATGTTATTAGCATCTGATTTCAACTTAGCATCTTCGACGTTAAGTCAACCCATGATTCAAAACTGACCGAATCTCAACCTCGGTTATAACCTCACGTCACTGATAAATTGACATTTGACAGCTTTCGCAGTTGTCAAAAGATCGTTTCAAGTCAAGGTTAGTTAATAGAGAACAGGTTACCACATAAACGAGTATGTGGGCAAAATCGCTTACGGGGGAGGAGAGGTGTTAGCCCATGATATAATAATTCTCTAGGTATGATACTCGTGCGGCTCAAAGTGAAACCAGTTCGCGCAGTGACGTCATTCGGTGAGTAGAACTATTGGAATTTCAACATAAAAGCACGAAGAATCGCTAATATTTTTGATTTTTATTGTTATAATTCGTTATATATTTAAAAAATGTGTTGTGCAATCTCTATATTATAATATAATAATTATAATGCTGCATTAAACAATCTGAAAACTAAATTTACGTGAATTACCTGAAGTAAATTGTAAAAACGAATTTAACGGAGTTTGATACGTATTTCTATTGTTTGCAACAAATTAAAATTTCGCGTTTAATATTATTTTTCGTGTACTCAATAGAAAAGTGCGGCTTTAATTTGGAGATGATTATAAAAAAAAGTGCTATTTTTCTCGTTAGTAGCGCACAGGTTATCTGAAAACGCCAAGATCTTCAGAATTATCCATTTTTTGCTTTTTTAGGTTTTTATTTGATTATCAATCATTACCACACTTGTTGTGGTAATTATGTACATTTAACGTGAACATAATTACCTTAAATAGAAATCTATACATGATCGTTTTCCGGGTTGGAACCGTATAAATTGAGTTTTTGGGCTCACGGTTCCAGCCCGGAAAACGATCATGTATTGATTCCGACCGTGGCAGCCTCCGAAATTAATAGAAATCTACTTTAGATATTCTGTTCCAAACTTTCAAAAACTGAGTACAAGAAAAAGTAACCACTAAAAATAAATACAATGTACTATTGAACTGTAATCTACATGTTAATTAACAATTTTTCCATGATTTCTCTCGGAGTGAAAATTGTTTTCATAGCTTGATTTTCTTTTTCAAGTTCGTCGTTTTGCTTTTTAAGATAAGCAATTTTTGCTTCTGGATTTTCTCTCTGTATATCGTGATCTGTATTTGTACTACGTAAAAAAAACATAATTAAATATTGGATATACGTCTTCAAATAATCGTTTCCCTTGAGAAAGAAATATACATCATGCAAAAAAAACCGTGCAAACATAAAAGTAATTCTTCAAAAAAAAAAAACACTTTCCTTGCGTAAATACAATAAATGTTCAATATACCCAACAGATTTACTTGCAGACTCTGTTTTATCTTCCAAAGCAGCACCTGCGTCATTGGTTTCAGTGCTATAAAATAAATGAAAATATAAAATAATTGTTAAAAAAAAGTACTATAAGATGTTCTTTGTGAACATTTTTTTTTAATTGAATTTGTTTGATTTATATCAATATTCAAGTAAAATAACCTACTTAATTTCGCGATTTCATCCCTAGAACAAATTTCTTTAACTAACTTGGCCGATCTCCAGACTTTAGTTTTTTTTCTTTTTTAGGAAGATAATTCAGAAGTTCGTGTTGCAAATTTCATCCGAAATCGTCTTCACTAAAATGCTGTGAACAACTGAACACGCTCTTGCATTTTTTACTACAAAAGAGTCCGAACGACAACAAGAAATAACCCATACTTGTCCATTGGAAACGAATAAAATTGTATGTCTTTTTGAAAATGTCTTGATTGTTTATCGCTATTACACCAAAAAACGCCACAACGCATCGTTGTGACTTTATAAAATTATTAAAACATAACGTGTAGCCACTAAACCTTCTAAAAAATACGTGGAAGACAGAAAAACGTCGCAGAATCCGCGCGAAATGGCTGTGTTTACTCACCGAGTGACGTCACTCCCCCACTCCTTACGTGCGCAATATCATACCTAGTATTTATTGTATCATGGTGTTAGCCCCATGTAACCTCAAAATGAGGTTGGTATTACTTGGGAATTTTTAGTAACTTGTAATTTTGAGTTGGTGTGACCGATCAGCTGATGCCTTTAATCTGTACGATCTGTACCGCTAATTCTGACGTTTGGTGTTAGTACTGCCACAGTAGATCAGTAACGAAACTTCAGCAATATTTGCGGAACGGGTGTGACCTTGGGAGCCCGTTCCCGGGAAACACGAAGATTCAAATATTTCGTAGCATTCGTATGTGATTCATATAATACTAATAATTGTACACAAAAATAAAAATGGGTGGCATGTACTAGTGACATTGGCCATTTTTTTCTTTCTTATAAATTATTAATATATTCAAGCAAAACATTTTTATTCAATTTTGACGTTTTAAACTGCGTTTATTAAATCCTTAACAAGTCTGACAAATAAGTTGTTATCCACAAGTGAATTGCAAAATTTTTATTTCACTCTTAATATTTTTAAATCACTCACAAAAAAATAAAAAACAACTTCAGGAACATAAACATTTTGCTTATTATTTTTAATAGTTTTCACAGAATACAATTTGTTTACAATTTTCACTAAAAGGTTGCTGCAACTAAATCAGTATTGTTTGACATATTTGTTTGGCTCTGTGAGACGTCAATTTGGAATTGTATAAATCCCACATAAAGTGTGTTTCGGAAACTATTTACTACAGATTATTTCGATACGAGTGCAAGAACCAACTGTGAAACACTATTTTATTTGAAATGAAAAATTTGCTAAGGTGTTCTTTTAAACAAACTTCCACAACACATCTCCCCTGTATTCCAGCCTCTTCAACAATCATAAAGTGATGTGAGTTACCGGAAACTCACCTTGAAAGAACACAACTGTTTATGGTATGTTTGTGAATACTCATTAATACGAAAATTCTTACACCACCACTTCTGCGAAGTTTGTTGTGAACTTTGCACATTCTTACGAAGTGGTACATCCTGTTTTAATTGTGTGACATTTTAAAGTCTTCAATGAAGATGTGATTTTTGGCGATTTAATGATGCCACCTAAACATTTTGCAGTTTATACTCCGGTAATGGGTAATACATTTTGTGAGTTTTTCCCAATTTATGCACCGTAGTCGTTAACTGGTTTGCGGCTAAAAAACGAACCACACAAAAATACCATTCCACCACCCCTGCAGACTTTCCTCTTGACTACCTCGTTTCAGTTTTTATTAGTTAGAATTTTTTACACACTAAAATTTAAAAATAAATCTTGGACCGCTCAAACATGCACACATCGAAAATTAAACTATTTCGTTTAACCTGCAGTTTGTTGACCTCTTTAGCATGGAATTTTCTAGTATTTTTTACATGTATCGTAAGTATCTATTACTTTGTTAACATAAGTTTTACGTTTGTTTTTAACCCCATAACCCAACATCCCCTATGATTCCGTAATTAATATGACATTTCTTGTTGACAAAACCAGACAAAACGTTCACCGAAAACCTGAAAATGAAAAAGAAACTACAGGGTTAGTCACGAGAGAATTACTTCTGAAAATTATTTTTACGCAACCCAAAATACGAATACCATGTACCATTTGATACTAGCTGAATTTAAAATGAAATGCTTAATCCATGATTGCTTTGAGTTTGGCAATCTCATTTTGACAACTGTGGAAAAGGAGGTTACGCGAGTGTCCATGGTGGTACCGCAGCCAGTCGGAAATCTCCTCCGGCGCCGCTAATAAATTTGTCAGTGTGCCTCTTGATCTTTTGCAACCGATTAATCAAGAGAAAATTATTTCTAAAAATTCCTTTTACAGCATTTTATTCAAAGGTTACAACACAAACTCAAACAAGTAAGTAAACAATTTAACTACTAATCTGTTGAAAATGTTGGGCATTTTGGGGGGATGCTACGGCTTTTTTGTAAATGGATGGCCGAAGAAGTCCAGAGGTTGCAGATTTGCACTTCGAAGAGGCTCTAGGTGACGCAGAGATAGCGAATTAACACATGCACATTAGCGGCGAACAACATTGGTAGAGCACTTACGGCTTCAGTATAGCCCAGATTGATCTGACTGTATGTCGTCGATCCAATGGGGCTCTAGAGGCGAGTCAACGATGAAAAAAAAATGTTAAAAATTAATTAATGTCAAAGTGACACTGCCAAAGTCAAAGCAATCATGGATTAGGCATTACATTTTAAATTTAGATAATATCAAGTGGTACAGGGTATTAGTATTTTGGGTTGCGTAAAAATAATTTTCAGAAGTAATTCTCTCGTGACTAACCCTGTATGTTCTTCAAGGTCGGAGCACCTTTAGTGACGCTAGTGACCTCTTTATGTCGTTCCGTAAGCTGCCCATGTATTTCTTATGGAATCAGCTGAGACTTTCATAGCCCTGGTACTGCGACTCGTGTTTTATGTATCACTAGTATTTGCTCTGCGTAGTTTGTAGTTAGCTAGTATACTACAATCAAAAGATTTGTCGATTTATAATCATGCCAGGACATTATTGTGCAGTGAAAAATTGTGGAAACAATTCTGTGAAAGTAAATACAAATATTTAAATTTTACGTAAATTGGTTTTGAAATAAATATTTACAGAATAGAAGTCTAAATTTGGAAAATGTAGATCCATGTCTAAGTTTCCACTTGATTAAAATTTTCCGTTTTTAGTGCGTTACTCGAGTATTTAAAACGGGCAATTTTCGTCCCATTTGAGAGCGCCTTGTGACGTATCAATATGGCATCCCAATGTGGCAACCTTATCTATTAAATGACTTTGGTTTCAAGTACGGTTTTCAAGGCAATGTGACGTTACGTGGCTGGTGCGCAAGGCAGACGAAAATTCATCCACGGACTAGCGTACCATATCTTCTTGTATGTACCATGAATGTGTGTACGTCAAATTAAATCGTTTTTTAAATACACTACAATCAGATCTGAAAATTGTTTAACGTTCATTGGTTTTTATCCACGACAAATCTTCTAGTTGCTTCCACCAACTCGAATTATATTTCAGAAGAGAAGAAAATTCTGTCTAAATATTTATTTTTTTGTCCGGGAGGGGAAATGCCTTGGGCAGACCGCCGTGTTTGTTCTTAGCATAGGACACTGCAATAATTTGCTTACCTCCCTAAATCCCCCCCCATTTGTGCTCAGATACCAGAACTTTGTCCTCTTCACCTGGGTCCTGACTTCTGAGTGGTCACAGAGATGCTGTGCCACTGCAGTTCGGATCTAAATATCTGTAAATTAGTTCTTTAAATTTAGATTCAATCTTTGTTTCTCCCCTCCTCCACCTCTCCCCCCTTCTCTCTCGCTCTCCCTCTGTCACTCCCTCTTCCTTAACAGAAAACACAAGTGAATTGATATTTATATTTATTTTTCAGTTAACTGATTCCAAGTGTGCCTACATTTTGTTAATTTGTTTATTTGAAATGTTTGCAAATCAGCAAAATAATTGGTGTAAAATTTGTTTTAGGTAGGGGAACTAGGGACTTGTTGTAACAGGGGTAAGTTGTAATACTAAATTTTTACCTGGAATTTAAACTCCTTAACGTCAAGTTTTTTACTGAATTTAATTCTTGCACCATAAGACATCATGTCATCACAACCACTGTTCCTTCAGCAAGCGCAGTGAGTGGATGTGTGCACGTGTTTCGTTTTGGCCAAGTAATGTAAAATATTGTTTTAGTAAAATTTGGTTTTTCGTATCTGTTATTAATTAATTTAAAACTTTTAGATTTGCATGTAGTTCAAAGATTACTCAGCTTTGATATTCCTTACACATTTTGACGCTAAGCGACATAATTTTGTCGAAATGTAATTAAATGTAGAAAATTATATTACGGGGCATGTTGTAACAATATTTTGGCGCAAGTTGTAACATGTTACAACTTATCCCAAATTCACTTCTACAAATCTCGTACCTAGCATACGAAAAGCGAGCCATAATTTTGACCTATGACATATATCGCTTTCCAAATATATTAAGAAAAAGAAAAACAAAACGCAAATCTTTAATGTTGACTCTTTTTCTAAAAGTTTATTTCAGTTTTACTGATAAATATTATATATAATGAAGTGTTATGTTGATTTTTGAAAAATAAAGTCTAAATATGTATCAACATCAGCTTTATTTTCACTGTTACTACCTGCCTCATGGCAATTACAACAAGTCCAAAATACGGGGCAAGTTGTAACAATGCGCCTTTTTTTAAGAAAATGCCTGGTATGAAGTGAATATGAACAATTTTGACCTTTTGCCTGTTCAGTCCAATAGAGGAATATTAAGACTACCGACAGATACTTTTATAATGGTCAAACAGCTAATAGATACCAAATTATATTCGTTGTCCTAAAAACTGTTACAAGAAGCCCCTCGTTCCCTTACAACACATTTGTCACAAGCAAACCAATATAATCATCTTGCATCAAAAAGTTGACGGTTTGTCAATGTCTCTAAAAATACAAAAATCATTATATTAGTTTCAGGCTCAATAGTGTTTTCAAACATGTCGTCTCCAAAATCAAATCACTCAACTAAAGCTTATTTTCTGCTGCCTAAAGATGGTTTTATAAATTCAACAGAAGAAATTATTGCGTACGCTTTATTTTTATTTGAAGAGCATGTAGACATAAAGCGCACAAGTGGATCATGGAATGGACCTTTAGGAAGTTGGCCTTCTATTCCGGAAAATTCTACACAACTTACACCCAATTTTTGGAATCCGTTCACCGGTTTGTATTCAGTAGTTGAGGGTGCAACTAATTTTATTTGATATAAATTTTAGATCAAAATCATACCTGCGATTTTATAATTGGGGATGACAGCAGTTGTTGTAAAGTACACTGTTATAATACACCTTTAAAATCCAATACCCAATATGGTTTAGTGGTTAGAGCGTTAACAAACCACGCATATAATGACAGCTCTTTGCTTTTTTTCCATACAGGTAATTTAATTATTGTTTTTTACCAGTCACAAACATTTAAATACTCCTAGTATTTTCTACATCATGCCATTTTGCCTCTAATGCAGCGGATGTTCAGTTGAAAAATCACTCAGAGTAGCCATTGGAATATCATTTGCTAGAAACGACATGTCTGTTCTTATACTTGGATTCATGTATCTTTTTACACACGTGACCAAAAGCTAACGTCCGAACTAATAACTGTTACTTTGTAGTAATTAGTCAAAAAGATGACAATGTTCATAACGTCAACATGACACAAATGTGTAAGCTCAGGCAGGTCTTTTGGTTTCGGTGCTTTCCGATTGGGTCGTGATTTTGCCGGACTGGGAAGGACGCCGAGTCTTTCTTTTCGAGTTTTAATCTTCGAAACGGTTCGGCGAGTAACCCCTAGACATTGATTAAATACATATAGATAGACCCATGCTATTGTTTGGAGCGAACAGGCCAACGGCCGGCGAACAAGAGATGGCGCACCAACATTCGGCCGTCAAACGCCGGCGAAAAGCTTGGACACCAATCGCGTGCGTAGATAACCCAAATCTCAGCAACAATACATTTAATAAAGCTACCACTCGACAGAGGGCGACGAAAAAAATGTGTAAAAATCTCATAGTAAGCATTTATATAATTTGCAACGTTGCCAGATTAGCCTAACACAACTTTGCCGTTATTTCTAGTCGATTAGATTTTATTCCGTTTAAAAGTTTCAAGTGAATAAATGGAATTATTATAATCAATAAACAGTACAAACAAATTATTACTTGTTATTTTAAATACTTGTTAGTGTTGATGAAAACATAAATGGTAATTAAAGTTATTCTAAATACGGTCCGGTCCGGTCCGGTAGCTCAAATGTTACAGTACGAGTGGGATGTTTCAGGACGAGTAGGTAGCCGAGTCTTTAATTTCGAAACGAGTACTGCGAAAAGAGTTACCGGACGTATGTTGTTATGTATTTTATTTCATACTGTCAACATACTTTTTTATTCAATAAAATTATTATTATTTTGAGAAAAAATCCAAACCGAGTCACTTTTTAGCAACCGCTCTTTGGTAAATGTTTTAATTTGTTTATTCGTGCAAATCAGCATCATATGTTTAAACACATAGTACTTATAACACTCTACAGGACTTATTGTTTTGTATAATCCGACTCGATGGACGAATGTTTTGTGCAATCCGTCTCGAAGGACCAATGTTTGTGCAACTCGGCTCGTCCTACCAGTGTTTTTTGTAATCTAGTTGATACGACAATGTGATACCGAATTGTACTTTGATATTGCTCCAAGGACCTTTGTTTTCTTTCGTGCGAGATAATAGACAGCGTTCGGTTTCGATGTTTAATACAGGACGGTTACAGAAGTACTAAATTTACATTTGTATTTACAATAGCAGGTAAAGCAAAAGAGACCCAAAAGGGTCAGTGGCCGCTTCCGGAAATGGAACACTTGTCCTTTTTGGCTCAATTTTATCGGACTTGTTCGTTTTTTGATTTTACCGGAATCGTTCGATGCAGTAAAACGTCAAACTTGACATAGTATGAAGTAAAATAAATAAATTTTATGATGTAAATACAATTAAGTATATCGATAATTCGCTACTGAAAATTTATTGAAATATAATTTGTGTTAAAAAAAGATTTTTGTGGTTTTATGGTTTATTAAATGTAATTAAAATAAATAATATCAAGAACTTGTATTATATATTAAAAACATTCTTTGTAAATAAGAAAATTATGTAAATAAACCATAAAACCATACAAAATTTTCCTGCGACCTCTATTCAAAATCCCAGTTTACCAATAGGAATTAAGGCACAAAGATGTTTCACTGAATTTATTATCGATTTTTCAAGAAAAGTATGCTTATAAGCCTATAAGCGTCTAATGGATTAAAACAACAAATAATAATCACAATTTATTTGTTTTATGTGTTCATTATAATAATCCCATTTATTTACCAGAAACTTCTAAATGAAATAATATCTGGTTGACGAGAAATATCCGCAAATTTGTGTTAGACTCATTCGGCAACGTTTTCGGTAGGTAGGTATCAATGGAATAATGCGATTAGGTATACTGACCGTTTTAAGGAGTGCTCGTCCAATAGTGCGTAAACTAAAAGATTTGGTCAATTTTCTTGGAAGAGTTTGTTTCTTCAATGAAAATGTATGGTTTTTAACTCTTCGGCCGCTTGAAAGTCTCGCCATGTGAAAATAAATTATTTGATAACCTGTTTCGTAATAATTGTAAATACGAACAAAAGCATATTTGCATATTCTAAACAACTGGCCATATCGATTCCAAACTTGTACAGATATGGTTTTTAATGTTTCTGTTTTCAATGAAATAAATTTTATTTACAAAATACTTAATGTCTAACGACATATCACGCATACATACTGCCCTATTTACCATATTTTCAATCGGGTCGTAATTAAGTGTGCATTATTTTTAATACTTTGTGCATTAAATTTTATACTATGCGCAATAACATTTGTGCATTAAATTTACTATGTTGCGCCATAAGTTTTTGCATTTTGTGCATTATATTAAGTGCAAATTGGAATAATAAAATTATTGTTTTGGGCAATGATTTTCTGTACTGCGTGCATTATTGAAACTGTATAGAAAATAACAAACAAAAATAGGCCTGCTGTATTAAAATGTGTTTTATGAATGCATACAAAATTAACAAAAACATAAGATATTCATAGCAAAAAAGTAGCTAAACAAATTAAAAGTTTTGAAAAAATTAACAAAGAAACTTAAAATAAATATTCTTTCATCAAAAAACTCAACTACTAAACATTATTAATTTATTGAATAATAATTAATGCTTTTTAGGTTTTAGAAGGGCGGATTCCTTCCCTGCCGAACTAGCGCGAAATGAAGCACATGACACGTCCTTTAAAGAGTGGGAGTGTAATGCCCACTTTACTGTGAACTAATGCACATTTTAGTAATTTAGGGAACATTTGAAATGTTCGTTTATTTTTTCTCAAATACAAATTGATTTATTAAGGAAACAGTGATTTTAACGAATGACCAAATTTAATTAAATAATTCTAAATAATAACTGCATTATTTATTGCGCAAATAGAAAAAATAATCTGCCATTATTTTATTTATTGTCCTTTCAGTTTTACAAATGCTGAAATAGTTTTTTCTGTGCTGAAATGTTTTTAATAATGCTGTGACTTATTTCACATTTCATTAAAACTAGTGCGCATTTAAATTGTTCTTTTTTCAGTCTGTGCATTTTTCGTTTCATTCGTAGGAGCCAAGTAAGAAGTATTAGTGAGACCGGCGGTCTTTCAATAGCTCGTAAATGAAAAGATTGAATAAAGTTTCCTAGAACAGTCTGTCTCTTCATAAAAAAATTTAGACATTTTTACTATGAAATCTAGGTACAATACGCTATATTCCACTGTTTGTTTTCTTTGAGATACGACTAGTTCTTGTGCCGAAGTGAGACACCAAAAAGTCTAAAGTCCGGAAATCAGAGTGAATTTTAAAACACATAAAACGACTTCTTAATTTATTTAAATATTGTCCTGTAACGTCCTGCGACGTAGAATGGAGTTTCTTAATGTACAAAAGTATATTAGATAATAACCAAAAAATTTTCTTGATTAAAACTAAAGGAAACACAATTATTACTTGGAATAAAAATAAAGAATATCAAGAACTTGTGCTATGTATTAAAAATATTTAATTTCAAATAAGTAAATTATGTTAATAAACCATAAAACCACAAAAATCTTTTTTAACACAAATTATATTTCAATAAATTTTCAATAGCGAGTTATCGATATACTTAATTGTATTTACCTCATAAAATGTGAAAGAAAATGTCTTATTTTTGACTTTATGCGGCATATGTTACCCGTTTTTTAAGATATATATGAATGCATATATTTTGTCTTTAGTATATATCTGCCCGTCTCTAGTCTAATAAATTTTCTAAAATAATATAGTAAGTTTTAAAAAAACGCATTTAAAAGCATTTTCCTTTGTATTATTAGTAACAAAAGCGAGCACACGAAAGCGTAGAAAAAATTTCCAATGTGTTATTTACATTTATTTTACTTCATACTGTGTCAAATTTGACATTTTACTGGATTCGAAGGAGTCCGGTAAAATAAAAAAAAACGGACAAGTCCGGTAAAATTGAGCTAAAAAGGACAAGTCCTGTAAAATGTTATTATGTGTTTAAACATTTTTGATGCTGATTTGCACGAATCAACAAATTAAAACATTTGCCAAACAGCGGTTGCTAACGATGTCAGAAAAAGTGACTCGATTTGAACTTTTTCTCAAAATAGTAATTATTTTATCGAATAAAAAATATGTTGACAGTATGAAATAAAATCCATAACGACAAACGTCCGGTAACTCTTTTCGCAGTACTCGTTTCGAAATTAAAAACTCGGCTCCCTACGGTCGCCTCTTCCTGAAAAATCTCACTCGTACTGTAAAGTTTGAGTATTTATAATAATGTTAGCGCTAACAAATATTTAAAATAACAAGTAATAATTTGTTTGTATTATTTATTTTTATTCATTATAATAATCCCATTTATTTATCAGAAACTTTTAAACGAAATAAAATCTACTTGACTAGAAATAACGGCAAAGTTGTGTTAGGCTCATCTGGCAACGTTGTAAATTATATAAATGCTTACTATGAGATTTTTACACATTTTTTTCGTCGCCCTCTGTCGAGTGGTAGCTTTATTAAATGTATTGTTGCTGTGATTTGGGTTATCTACGCGCGCGATTGGTGTCCAAGCTTTTCGCCGGCGTTTGACGGCCGAATGTTGGTGCGCCATCTCTTGTTCGCCGGCCGTTGGCCTGTTCGCTCCAAACAATAGCATGGGTCTATCTATATGTATTTAATCAATGGCCTAGAGCATCTGCAACTCGCTAAAAATTTGAGCGAAATTATTAACCATGAACCTTCAAGTGGTTTTCACTTA